TCCTTAAAATGTTTTTTTGAGACCACATTCTGTCATTAGAATTCACACGAAATTTTAAATGTGTTGCTAACATTTGTGTTTTGTTTTTTGATTGTTTTGGAGTTCTGTGACATAATAGATTTTTAAAATCCATTTTCAATTTATCCTATCCATGAATCCAGATTTCATTTTTCTTTCTTATTGCTTAGGACTGGCTTACCAAGCTCTTTTGCTGTTTGATTGGTAGATTTTTGGCAATGGGTATTATCATCTCTGCATCTTTCCAAACTGGTATGGATTTTTGTTGAGGATCAACCTCTCTGCTAGGGTCATGAACAACTTTGCTTTCTTGAAGACTTCCTTATGCTCTGCCAGTATAACTTTTAGTGTTCGATACGTGCTATCAATGTAAAAATGAGCTCTTTGTTGTACAAGTTGCTGGGCACCATTTGAAACGTATAGAGGATTATTACAGGGAGATCCAATATCACCATATCTGTTCAATTTTTACTTATTTGATTTAAACCAGGGAGTCCAACCTTTTTGTTTCTCTGGGCCACAAATATATTGTGACCAATTTTTAAATATACAAATATATTTAAGGATTTACATGTCTAGATTATAGTAATAAGTATTAAAACTTTATCACGAAAAAGGATATTTTAAAAATTACTTCTACAGATGCTTTTAATTTCTACTTTGAAAATAGATAATTTTATTTATTATAAAGAAGTCAAACAAAAATTTATTTGAAAAACCACAAATATTTGTTTTATTTGGGTCTTTTGGGGAAGAGACCCAAATTTGGGGAAAAGAGAGAAAAGTCAAAAGATAAAGAAGTGAGAAAGGTTAAATACACCTTCTGTTATGCAAATATTGATCCTTAATTTTCCAACCTTTCTCACTTCTTTTTATTTTTTGGCCTATAATCCTTTTGAGTCACAACTCCAGCTTTATTTAGTATTCCTTCCTCATTCACACATTACAAATATTTGAAAATACTTCCTTTCTATTAAAAAATAAAACATGTATAAAAGTTTACGGCTTTGTGAAACTTCTTTTTTTTTTTTTTTTTTTTTGTTTATGCCGTTGAAATAAATAATTTAAAAATTTGTTGGTTATGTTTACACATTTATTGGGCTGCATTGGAACTTGCCTTGGGCCGCACGCGGGTTGGACACCCCTGATTTAAACAGATATTTCGTAAGAGAAGAGGATAGATTTAAAATCGAAAACCAAACGATACACTGAATTTCTTATGCAGATGACATTGTTTTAATTGCACCAACAGCAGCTGCACTACACAGGAAAATACAACAGATATCAGAATACTTGGAAGATCTAAAAGTAAAAATTAACCCAAAAAAATCAGTGATAGTGATATTTAGAAATGGTAGCAATTTACCAAAAAACATGTGTCTTTCTATATAAAAAGAGAAGAAATAAAAATAGTTAACGAAGTTGAATTCTTGGGAGTAATATTTACTCCTAATCTATCATTTGATAAGCACTATACAAGATCAATAAATAAGGCTAACAATTTAATAAATAATTTAATCATACTATTTTGTAAGACCAAAATGAAGAATCTACAAATACATTTCCAACTCTTCAACACTATCATTATGAATTCGCTGAGGTATGCGTCACCAATCTGGAGTTTAAATAAATTCAATGAATTCGAACAAGTACAAAACAGATTTATTTGTAGAATTTTTCAACTAGAATATAATACTCCAGGAAGCTCTCTAAGACTTGAATTGAATAGATATAAATTAAACCCCATTCTAATGAAAAGATATATTAAATTTCTAATAAAAGTAATTGATACATGAGACCTAACTACGAAGTTGTTGTACTTATTATACCATAAATCGAGGGATAAAGAGTTAAATAGAAATTGGATAATTCAAATAACAAAAATTCTAACTACATATGGGTTCGCTACGCTATGGAACTTTTTATCGAACATACAACCAATAATGAACAACAAAGTAAACTATTAATACAGAGTAATGGAAATATCTATTGTGCAAGATATCAAAGATATACAAAAACGAAAAAACCCATTCTGGTACAAAATAATTTTGAACTACCCAATAATTTGAATAATAATTATATGTTCACCAACCTGGCATTTAACATCAAAAAATTCTTTATACAACTCAGACTAAATAAAAATGGGATTATTTTCAATGATATGGTTTGAGAGTACTCCAAGAACTTATGTCCAAGATGTAATAAATTATCGTCTAAATTCCATATATTCTGTGAATGTTGTAAAGTAAATGAGATCAGTCAAAAGTATGATACAAGTAAAATAGCCAATTGCTTTAACGAATCTGAGATGTATAAGATCCTTGATAGAGCAAATATTGATACTATTTTTAAAATATATAACAATATGAACCATTTTTTAAAATAAATTGTAATTAATATCCAATGTTAACAAAAACGTTATATAAAGTGTGAACCAGTTAAATATTTACTAATTAGTGCAAAGTACTAGAGTTAATGAAATAATAAGATTCTTAAAGGTTTGTTTGTAGATGATGTTTGGTCTATTGTAAATCTATGTTATATCAAACAATGTTAAAACTTTAAGATATATAATGAGTATTTAATAGTTTTGTTTTAAAGCCTTATACGCTTAATAAAGTTTGAATTGAATTGTACAAGATTTCCATGGTGCAGAACAAGCTAGCTAATAGGTCCTTGGGTTTTTCATTTCTGATGAGATCGAATATGGTATGATGGTGATCTTAGTTGTTTGTTTCTTCATAATCAACTGGGTGGAATTCATTTCTGTAACAGTGATATTCTTGATCACTTTTGGCTCATCTGGTTTGTTCTTGGACAAGCCAGCTGAGCCAAATAATAGCATTGAAATGATACTGACTCAGTTGACTGGGAAAGCCAGATGAGCTTTCTTGTTTTGTTTTTTAGGTCAGTGGTTGTCGGCAAGCAGCAAGCGTAGATAGGCTCAAGGCAAAAGAACAGAAAGCTGCTACTTACTGTATATTTGAATACATCGTCAGACTTGAAATGTGTGTTAAATTCTGCATCTGTGAGCTTCCTCTACAGAAGGTTGATTGCGTTCCATAATGCTGATTTGCATATTACCAATAGTTCCAGTTGTAGGAAGTAGAATAAAAGCATCTGGCCCATGTGTTGCTGTATATTCTGAGTTTTACTTTTGATAAGTAAGGCTTATTTATCGCAAATATGCCACTTACAATTTCAGACTTTTGGGCAGGTTATGTAACTATGCTTTTCGACCCAAAATATTTGCAAACTCAAATTATTAAAATATGCAAAAATTGTGGTTTTAACATTTCACAATACGGGATACAGTCAGTTCTCAAAAGAAATGATTTGCAAGAGCCAGGACCATCATGAAGTGTTTCAATTCGACCCAGAAAAAGGAACCTTCCAAGCCGCACACCGGAGGTGATAGCAAAAGTGCAATGACTGTTGGGTTTTTGGATTTGAACCACTGTTCAAAGTATCATCCAGAGTGTTGGAATAGCCCAGTCCACAGTTCATGCCATCATTCACAAGAATTTAAAACTGGAGAAATGCCATAAAGGTAAGTTCACAAGCTGCTGTCTCGTCACATCCAAGAACAAAAGACCAACTGCCAAAAACTGTACGAAAAGTATCTTTCGGTAAACAAGTGGCAGTTTGTAGTAATGCTAGATGAAGCAGGAGTTTATTACAGACCATCAGATGGGAGACCATACAAAAAATGATTCAAGGAATGAAAGTTTTCCGTCAGGCTTTGTGGTCATTGCAGGTTATTGTTATCATGGTAAACTAAACATCAGAAAAGTTGAATAAAACATTAAAATTAATTCAACATACTACTAGACTAACGTTCTGGAACCTCTATACCGTGAACAGATCTCTGCTTTGTATGGAAATGATCAAACTAATGTATGGGTGCATCAAGACAAAACTTTCAGTCATACCTCCAAATCGACTTGAGATTTCATCCATGTATTGGAACAGGAAATGGGAATCCATACCATCCCTTTCGATGACATTCCTATGAAGTCATCCAATGCAGCTCCAATGGACTACTGTGTGTTTGGTCTATTGAAACTTGCTCTGGGAAGCCGTTGTCCAAAAACAATGGCAGGCTTATGGAAAGCCTGTAAGGAGGAATGGGACTGTTTAGACATGAATGTTCTTCAAAGAAGTCTTCTACAGTGGAAACTTCGATGCAGGGCTATAGTTTCACAACATGGCCATCAGATGGAGCATAATCGAAACTGGCGCCATGGCATTTAGATTTCTTTATAGGCCTCTTAAATTGGCATTACGTAACATGATCAACTGTCTGTAAATCACTGTTTTGATGGTGCTTTTTTCCAGTTGGTTAGAAATGTCCTAGAAGTGGCTAGATTCTGGACGTTTCTGATCTACCTGTAATGAGTGATATGTTGTGTTAATTGCTGTTGTCCACAAACTGTGGAACACTCAAAAAGTTTATCAGATTGTCAGCATAACAGAAGATGGCTATTATAAATAAATGAATCTCAACAAAATAATAGAACAATATCATGTTAGATCTAAATCTCGATAAAAAGTGATGCCTTAACCCTTTCTATCATTACATTTTCTCTGGACAATTTCTCACAAAACAACAGTACAATTTAAAAAGAACCTTTAGCAAAAGATCTCTTTTTGGCTGGATACAAGCAATCTGTCTCATCATATGCTTTTTGTAACTGCCAATTTAAATCCCTTATAATTGTAGATGATCTAACTGACATCACATCCAGTTCCACAAATGTTCAATGGATGATAAATTTAGAGACAAGGCAGACCGAGAAAGTTGGCAATTACTCTCGTAAAAACCCTAGCAATGTNATTATAAATTTAATGTGTTATAAAAATATTAAAAAAAAATTTCTATAGCTATTGATATAATAAATAATCAATATTTGAACTTTGAAATTGTTTATGAAGTATGTTATGCAGTTTTAAAAATGTGTTTCAATAATTTTTTCCCCTAGACTAATTTGGATATAAAGCCAACTGATATTACTTTATTACGTTGTTCGGCATCTAATATTAAAGAAAATGGAGCCTATTTATTAGGTAAGATATTTTATACAAAGACTAAGAAAGGTTTGTATAAATTCTTAAGTATCTGTATAAAAAATTTTAAAAATTTTGGTATAAAGTAAATAAAAATTCCTAATATATTAATGTAAGATAGAACGTATTAATATTAATTGAAAAAACTGGTAGCACTTATGAGGAACTTTATTAAATTAATTTTATTTGATTTTAAAAAGATGGACAAATAACACTTCTCAAATTTGAATATTCAAATACTTACAAGGGGATCTTATGGTCTCGGAAATTCAGTTCGGGATGAGACTTTGCAGGTTAGTAGTATACCTCAAGGGTGTCCACCCAGAAAAATCGTACAGCGCACTAACCAGAAGATTCTGAGAAAAAGGACTCTTAAAGTTTTAAGCGCAGCTCATATACTGGTTGATTTTACACTATGGCAGCACAGCGAAATGACTGAGTCTGTAGCACTCGCTTGCCACACGGGCAATCTAGGTTCGGTCCTACCTTTAGCTAATTTTTTTTTTACATGTTTTAAAAATTATAACAACTTTATTTAAAAGTTAATGACCTAAAAAATTATCAATTAAACCATAATTTTATTTTATTTGTGAAATGACTGTTACAGCTAATTAAAATGTGAATTAATGATATAAAGATGATAATTTATTTTTAAAAAGTTGAATAATTTCACATGAATTTTTAATGGAGGTAAATTAAAATTTTAATTACTATTGTCATTGAAAAGTTATTACAAATTTTAAGATATTATAATCTGTGGAGGGGTTAAAAATATTCGTTGTAAATTTGAGGAACTGGTTTCTACATGGAAGAGTAGAGTATAGCTGTTGATTATTATTTATGATTTAATTGATAATATTTTTAGGTCATTAACTTTATTTAAAAGTTGTTATAATTTTTAAAACAATTAGAAAAAAGTTAGTCAAAGGTAGAATCTAACCTAGATCGCTGGCGTGGCAAGCAAGTTTGCTACAGACTCAGTCATTTTGCTGTGCTGCCGTAGTGTAAAATCGACCAGTATACAAGCTGTGCTTAAAACTTTAGAGCCTTTTTTCTCGGAATCTTCTAGCTAGTGCACTTTACAATTCTTATGGGTGGACACCCTTGAGGTATACTACTACTCCTGCGAAGTCTCATCCTGAACTTAATTTCCAAGACCGTAATGTCCCCTTGTTAGTGAAGTTTATTAGTAAAGTTTGTACAAAAGTAAATATTCCAATATAAATTTTTAGTTAACATTTTATTTTGATTTTTACAGTAAATTTATTAAAAATACTCTTCTCTTAACTACAGTAGATTAATCAATAAGTGTCCTCATTCTCATTGTTTGTTAAATACAAATATGCAGCCAAACATTTTGAATGTATTCTGCTTCTTTTCTTTTATGTTGGAAATTAAACCAGAAGTACTGAAAATGTGCTGTCTACGTATAGCATGATATTGGAGGTATTAGTAGTATCCGAGAATTAGAGTATTATTGGATAGCATTCATCCATCTTTAAAATTTTAATTTTAAAATTTTGCTGGATGATAAAGTTTTCTTTAAAAACAAAAAGATGTAGTCGTTTCCAAAAACTTGGGTGATCATCATTTATTTCTTTTAAATGTTCCATAGTAAAAACTTTATTCTACATTAAACAGTGAAAATTTCCAGTGGATATAAGGATCCGAAACTCCGGATCGGAGAAGGATGAATAAAGCAAGACGTCGTAAGGTCATCAATTCCAATGTTAAGAAAAGTTATTACTGTTTAATTGGTATATTTCTGTGTTTTAAGGAACTTTTCCCAGGACGGCCGTGTAGCCTAAAAAGAAAGGTCGGGTCGTCTGAAGTTTTTACTATGGAACATTTAAAAGAAATAAATGATGATCACCCAAGTTTTTGGAAACGACTATATCTTTTTGTTTTTAAATAAAATTTTAATCTTAAAATATCCCTACATCCCTGCTTTATATAAACAGTATAAAAATATTGTTAATTAAGAGAACAAACAGTAAAAAGAGAAATGTAATGCAAAATGAGAAAAAAATTATATTTATTAATCTTTGTTAGTTTTTAGAATAATAAATTCTTTAATTGATTGTTTCAGAGAATGGTATGTGTATATTTATTTGGATCGGACAAGCTATCAATACAAATTGGATCCAGGACGTTTTTAGCGTTCAGTATATTGGAGACGTTAATCCTACCGAAGTAAGTAAATAAAAGAATAAATATATTTAAAATAGTTTTCTTGTAGATACTTGTTTATGGAAAATATTCTGTTCCTTCTTAAAATTATCATCTAGATTTATGATTAGAAAGTAGATTTTAGAAAGTATGTATAGAATGGTGGTGGATGAGAAATACATTTGGTTTTAAATCCTGTTTTGCAATTGTCGAGAAAGTGGAATCTGTGCAGTTCTAAAAAGCGACACTGGGAGAATAATCTGCACGATACATGTGTGGTTTTATTTTCTGTTTACGTTTTGCAGTCAACTAGCAGATTTAAAAGTGTTTGTGTTGGTTAAAATCAATAGTTAGACTATGTTTGTTATTGGAATTTGGTCTTACCAGAAAATTTTGTGATTTTACTGTCCTCCAATCAACTGGAATATTTGCAGATTTACTACATTTTGAGCATGTCCATACATAGAAAATCTGTCTGCAAACTAGTTGTGGAAACAGATTGAATGTAGATTTTGTAACAGATATGATTAACTAATCTTATGTAATTTTCAGATTCAGTCGACCCCCCTATAAGACGATAGATACGTTCCGTCCTTTATGAATTGATTTCTTAAGAGTCCTTGCCAATCACAGCCTGACACGTATGCACTTTACGGACAACGGCTGTTTGAAAGGTTTTCTTCCATAAAATTAATCGATTCTAGATTAATCTGACTCAACATTTCCAAAATTCGTATATTTTTTTTTGGAAATAATCCATATAAACTACACTATAAACAAAAAAAATTGTAGGATTACTTACTGAGTGTGCACCATTCGACATCGCCATTGCTCAAGCTTGTTTTTGTCGCAGAACAGCTCAGCAAACTGCAGCCGCGATTTCTGATGTTATTTTTCTGCAAAAACTTCATTGAACTTTGGAAACATCATTAATATAAATAATTTTAATCATCGTTGAATAAGGAATGTTTCTTTCACACAAAATGTATAAAATTACAGTACTGTATTAGACTTACGGTACCTAATTTACATACTGTACAGACAATAGTTTGCCTAAACTCTCCGTAGCATGGTGCTAGACGGCGGAAAGCATATATATAATTATATGTACAGACAAAACTAAACTCAATTTACCTGCCTAAACTGTCCGTAGCGTGACGCTGGATGGCGGGAAAGTAGTTCGGCTGCCCGATGATGTTTTACGTAATTATAGGAGTTTTTTTACCGTTGTGTATGGATACTGCCACAATTTTTTCGCCATCTTATAGGAATCGTAATTATAGGAACCCGTCTTATAGGGGGTCTACTGTACTTAACATGAAAATGTCATTGAAAATGCAAGATTGGTTCTTGTTTGGAAGTTAGAAGGAAAAAGGAGAATGCCAAATTTAACGAGATTTTCTTTCATTAGAAGGAAAATGTGTGCGCCTTTTTGCTTCTCTTGTATTCTGTTTCTAGAGCATTTCTTCTGATTATTTAGCCATAATCTGCCAGCATTGCAGGATACAATTTGCTTTGTAATGCTTTTCCATGACGACTGCAATATCCCAACAAAAACACTTTCTGTGTTTATCACCGAGCATTCTGCAATTAATGGAGAAGACATCTAAATGGGAATAGAGGATATGCATTTTTTGGGGACATTATAGTCAATTTTCTCATATGCTGCTAGAAATTCATCCGCAAGCCGATGGAAATTTTTGGCTGTGACATTTCCTAACAATTTTGCATGTTACTCTTTTGCTGTCCTTTAACTGACTCTCAGATTCTTCATCTTTTTGAAGTTATCTGATCTGGAAACTAATGAATATTCCCTCTTTGATTTTCTCTGTGGATAGCATTATTGGATAGCATTCATCCATCTTTAAAATTTTAATTTTAAAATTTTGCTGGATGATAAAATTTTCTTTAAAAACAAAAAGATGTAGTCGTTTCCAAAAACTTGGGTGATCATCATTTATTTCTTTTAAATGTTCCATAGTAAAAACTTTATTCTACATTAAACAGTGAAAATTTCCAGTGGATATAAGGATCCGAAACTCCGGATCGGAGAAGGATGAATAAAGCAATCTTTGGAAATTGGATACTGACACAAATAGATAAATGCATCACCATTCCTATTGAGAGTTTTTAAACTCTGACTTGTGAAACAGTTTGTAATGTCAGTTTGGATGAAGTCATGCTTTCACACCTGCACAAGTGGCTGATACACTATTCTTCTGGCCTGGTATAAGTGATGGCCAGTAATGATTTAATCTTTCATGGGTGTTTTATTTACAACAGAGTTATTTTGTGTAGCCCTGCTGTAGTCCACATTAAAATAGCAATAACTAAAATCACAACACACATGCCACTCATGATTCTTGTATTGTATAAATCTAAGAAGGTTTTCTATGACTGTATAGGTTTCTTTAGTTTGGGTTGTTTAGATTTTGTATGGTTTAGCGACCAAAAAAAACTATATTTTGCTACTTTTCCTTCCCCTAATTTTAGTTTTTTAATTCTTCAGTTGACTATTTCTGATATCTGTCTCTCAAATTTAGTTTTACACAGGGGTTTAGTGAGTGCATCTGCAATCTGAGCTTCAGTAGGACAAAACTTTACATCCACCTCACCACTCACAAACTTTTCATGAATGAAATGATAGCGTACATCAATGTGTTTGCTGCATCTGTTTACTATTCCAGGCTTTATCAGATGGATTGAGCTTTGATTGTCTATGTTTAACTCAACTTTTACTTTCCTGCATACAAGTTCTTGGATGAGCAATTTTAAGTACAGCACTTCTTTGCAGCAGTCTGCAGCTGCAATATACTCAGCTTCCGTGGATGATAATACAACAATAGGTTGACGCCTTGAGCACCAGCTGATTGGTCCTCTTGCATATATTACTACAAATTCGGTAGTGCTTCTTCTTGTTTTACCATCTCCTGCATAATCAGCATCATAGAAGGCTTTAATTATTTCTGCATTCTGTTCTCAATTATATTGTATTCCCTTTTCAGTTGTCCCTACCAAATATTTCATTATTCTTTTTAAAGCAATTACATTGAAAATCCCATGAAGGAAGATATATCTGCTTGCTATGTTAACTGAATGAGCAATATCAGGACGTGTTCTGGTAGCAAGATAGAACAAACTTCCAACAGCTTCTCTATATGGAAACTTCTTTTCTGGTTCTACACCTCTATCAATATTTTTCAATTCAGGAGTGTTTACCATTTTTGCATTTTCCATGTTGAATTTTTCAAGTGTTGTTTTTAAGTATTTGCTCTGAGTCAATTTTATTCCATTTTCATTTTTATGTATTTCTATTCCCAGAAAGGATGTTGGATCTTCGTCTTTTTTAATTTCAAATTCTTCTTCAAACCTTTTTACTAGGTCTCTTAACTCAGATATGTCTTTTTCTATTACTATTCCATCATCAACATATATTGCTAATATAATAGAACCATTATTATTCTTGAAAATGCATTTTTCTGTAGCTGTTGGCATCATTCCTTTAGTTTTCATAACTGAGGTAAATTTCCTGTTCCAAGTTACAGGTGCTTGTTTGAGACCATACAATGCTTTGTTCAACTTGCAGATCTTTCCTGGTTCATTATAGCTTTGAGGTACTTTTGTAAATACCTCTTCACGAATTTCCCATACAAGGAAAGCAGTCTTGACATCAAATTTGATCATTGAATAATTTTTCTGAGCTGCCAATTCAAAAATAACTCTGAGAGAGCTGGCATTTATTACAGGACTAAATATTTTTTCAATATCCAGAGTGTTGTTTTCTCACACCCTCAAACTGCTAACCTTGCTTTGTATCATCTATCTTTTTGTCTAAATATCCATTTGTTTGTTAAAATTCATTTTCCTTTGGCTTCATTTTCATTAACTAGTTCCCAAGTATTGTTTTTATTAAATGATTCCTTTTCTTCCTCGACTGCTGCAATCCATTTATCTTTTTCAATGTCCAGCAATTACTTTTTGATATGTCATCAGAACATAATCGTGATACTTGCTGGGAAGTTTTTTCTTATTCTTTTTGTTTTGCTCTCTTCAACTTCTATTTGTTCTGGGACTTCCTCTGCAACTTCATCATCATCTGTCAGTTCTTGAATATCCTGCCCTTCCTCTGTATCTTGTCCTTTATTTTCTGCTTCAGTATTTATGTAAAAACAGAGGAAGTTATTTCTCTGTTATTCCTCTGTTTTTACACCAATGCTTAAACTCATTTCTGGAGTATTCTCTTCCATTGTCACATCTCAGTTTTGATACTTTTAGGTTTTGAAGAGCTCCTGCTTCTAGTACAAATTCTTTAATGTATTCAGAGGCTTCAAATTTGTTTTTCAGTAGATATACTACTGCATAATGGGTGTAGTCATCCATAATTGTTAAGAAGTATTTCTTCTTGTCCCATATGTGTGGCCCTGTAGAACCTAAAACATCAGTATGTAGGATCTGCAGAGCTCGTTCTGCCCATTGTCTTTCCTTATTGAAAGGTAGTCATGTTTGTTTAGCTTTGATACATGTTTAGCATGTATAATCTAGTTCCTCACAATCTTTCCATGATATGTTCATTCCATCAACTAAGTTAATCATTTTCTTTATGCTGTTAATTCTAGGATGACCCAATCTTGCAAGCCAAAGTTGGGTTTAAGTTTTTTTTTGATATACTTCTGTTACTGTTTGTTTTAAATTTGCTTTGGACTATCATAGAGCTATCCTTGCTTGTTTTCAAGGCAACTGTATAAAGTCCATTTTCTTGCTTTACACCCTCACAGATAATATCATCTCTATAATTTGATAATGGACAGCACGCTAATCGTTTATTACAAAAACTTTTAACATATAAGCGTTAAATTAGACACCTATGTCACTAAATTGACGAGCGCTTTCAACGATATACACTTTCGTCTTCTTCAGGTCATTAGAACCTTTTTTTGAATAAGGTTCTAATGACCTGAAGAAGACGAAAGTGTATATCATTGAAAGCGCTCGTCAATTTAGTGACATAGGTGTCTAATTTAACGCTTATATGTTAAAAGTTTTTGTAATATCATCTCTTGTGATGATAACTTTATCTTTTATAGTTGTGTATTCTGAAACCGTGTCTTCTTTTATCTGTTTTTATCGTTACAACTCGGTGCATAGATAGACACTGAGCATTTCTACTTCATCCTTATTCAGAATATCCTATAGGTCGATACGTGTTTCGGGCATAAGCCTCTCATCTGTCGGCATGACTTTAACACGGACGTCAAGAGTATGTGCTAGATGATGTTCAATGTTAAGTCAAGAAACCTTAACTGTAATAGTACTTTTAATTGGAAATATATTTTAAAATAAAATTGTTTTACTGTTAAACTATAATGGTAACTGTAAATAAGTAATTTTAAACAGAATGTATACGTGTCAACACCACCTACAAGAAATCCTGGAATTCATGCCGGCCTATAGGATATTCCGAATAAAGATGTAGAAATGCCCAGTGTCTATTTATGAACCTAGTCGTGACACTTTATCTTTGGTAAATGTATCACCATCAATTTCAGTGACAGCATTAACTGACAACAAGTTTGTACATAAATCAGGCACATGTGTCTTTTCAAGTATAAAATCTTTCCCTTCAATTCTTCCTATTCCATATGCCTTCATTGATTCAGTCCTTTACTACCATCACACTTTGTGTATATGTTTGGAAAAACTTTTTAACAGAGAAATGTCATTTGTCAATTAACCACAAATTCTCTCTCTCTCAAGATTCTGTTTGACTATGCTAAGAAGGACACTTTCTCTTTGCTACTTCTTCTGTTGACTGTATTAGGTCTGAAATAAATCCTCTTCTTACACACACCACACCACTTAGATCTTGCCCTGAAGTAACGGTCTTTGTCAATGTGATTACCTTTTTTACATATTTTGCATGTTATTTGTGATCTGGTTTTGTTAGGACAATTTCTCACTTGGTGACCTTTAGCATTACAAATAAAACATCCTTTCAATGAGAGAGGTCATTGTTTTGGGCAGGATTGAGAGAGATGAGATATGCTTTTACAGATCAAATCAACAAAAAAGATGCTTTAAGTCAACCACATCTAAAATTTCATTATGTTTTAATTTCTTTTCTTCTGCTATCAGTCTTGCTGTTAAATTTGTCAGGGTTCTTTCTTCAGATGGAGTTGATTCCCAGGTTGTTCCAAAGTATTTGAAATGGTATGGCAACGTTGATAAATTTTTTTAAATTATCATCTTATTTATAGATTTTAATCTAAAAGCAAGATTTTCAAGATTGCTTATGTGTAAAGCAATATCAGTTCCTGTTTCATATGAGAAGAATTGTTGCCTGAGCTAGCACTTCTGTTATTCAATGTGTCTGCTGAACAATAAACACAGTTCGTCAAACATCTCTTTTGCTGTGGAACAGTTTATGATGTACATAAGTAGTTTTTTTACTGATTGTAGTAGTTATAATCTTCTGAGCACTTGCATCTTTTTTCAACCAACTTGACTTTTCTTCAAGTTTTTGATCTTCAAATTTTACATCCCCTGACACTATACTGGAGCCCATTTGCTTGAATAAAATAGTTATTTGAAATTTCCATACCTGGAAGTCAAACATCAGCCAGCTTTTCAAAATTCATGCTTGCTCCTGCCATTTTTTTTCTTTTTCAGCAAGAGAAACCTGTTCAGATTTTGTATGGTTAGTGACAAAAAAAAGTAGATTTTACTACTATACTACAAAATACTACAAAGCTTTTATTGAGTACATCTCCTGTTCTTGTACACACAAAGGAAAAAAGATCAGACATAAAAGAGGGTTCTATTTTTAATATTTGGAACCAGAGCGTCATCTGTGGGAAATGCCCACAACACAAATAGCAGAATTAAAAAATATTAAAATTACGTCGATCACAATAGTAACAATAATAATTATTATTATCCCCTTTTTTCCTTTCTTAATGGGGTTGCATATGCCAGTGGAATTTGACACAGCATGTTTGCATTGTGCAAAAACATTGCCTTTAAACTGACCATTGAAGACACTATAAACAAATGTGATTCCCAAAGCTGCCTTAACACCGACATTTTTACAGAAAGTGAGATCACTTTATTCAGAACAGAACTGCATTTAGCATTGTTGCTAGCAGGAAAAGTAACTAACTGCAGAAAATGTAAAAGTGATTCCATTGTTTCAACCTGGGACCCAATAGTTCTGTTTTATTCTTGGGTAATTCCAGATTCATGATAACACAGGAAGAACTGAATTATCTTATCTTGTGTCACTCCTCAAACATTCAACACAAAGTCATGACAAACTGATGATAGCCCTGCCAATTTGTTCCTGTCTTGTTCATCTATATCAATGATTCCCATTTGATGGTACGCATAACACTGGGGGTACGCGTGGCAATCTAAAATTGGTCGATTTAAAATTTAAATGTATGAGATGAAGCAATTAAAAAAATAATTGGTGGACCATCAAAAATTCGGCAATTTACAACATGATGTTGAATGCACAAATTCTTTTATTTATAACTAAATATATTCTCGAAATTTCATCTAAAAATGCATTTGTGGTGATACCTAAATGAAATTCTTGCGCAAGAAACAAAAATTGTACAATTAACATTATTATCATGTCAGTGAAGCAGCAATAAAATATTTTCTACCATTTTGCACGACATACCTCTGCGAGAGCAGATTTTTGGCCATGACAAACATGAAAACTAAACATCGTCACCGACTTTGATTCTAAGATGACTCGAGACTGAAGCTGACCAAACAGCAACCAGATTTTACAAATTTGCACAAAGAAAATCGTGCACATTTGTCACATTAAAATTAAATAACCATATGTTATTTTCATTATTATTAGAATTGTATTTTAAAAGTAATAAATGTAAAAAAAACTTATTCTATTTATCACTAGCTGTCTACCCACAGCTTTGCCCACATTATATCAAATTTTCTTGTGGGAGTAAGATATTTTCTCGCAGTAAAATGTAGCCCATGTCCATGTTGAACATGTAAGCTATCTTTGTGCCAAATTTTATTAAAACCTGTTTGGTGGTTTAGACGTGAAAAAGTGACAGACAGAATTATCTTCGAATTTATTATAATAGTATGGATTAATATGAATTTCTGCTATAGGGGGTACGCGAGTTTGAGCTCTTTCTTGAAGTGGTACGCAGGAAAAACTAATTGGAAACCACTGATCTATATCATTCTGTTTTGCATTTGGGGTGTTCTGGAATGGGCACTTCTTTGCTATGTAGTGCAGGTCACATTGCAGAAGGGATATTAGTGTAGTTAATTGTTTTCTTCTTCTTAGTTATTCCTTTAAGATAGGTACCATGCAGAAGTAGCAGTCTTGGTTTCTGCTCTGCATTGAAACTGAAAATGGCACAGCACAGCCTTTATCGTGCAGCCACAAATAGAGATTTATCGAACAGGTAGTGCAACAAAATTACAGAGCCCACGGTTTAGTTGTAAAGGCAGAGATTAAGACAAACTATAAGAAGTAGGCTTTTTGTACGATTGCCGTCATGCGACATTTGCCAGAGGCAAATATAAACGTGCCACAAATATAACAGAACCAGTTTGCCTTGTTGTTGCACTTGTATGGAATATTTCCAACATGTTGATGTAAAATAACACAAATGGAGGTTTCCTTAATATAAAACACAAACACAAAGGAGCACAAAAATAATTCAGTAATTGAATCCTAAAGTAATCCAACTTTTATACGAGTCCCTTCCCTTTCCAAAGCACAAATATGGCCCATGCATTCAAGGTCGGCAGCTATCTCTGTGTTCACCCAGAGACACGGGGCGGTCAGATTTCAAAAAATTGGGGACGAAATTGTAGTTCAAGAATAAATATTTTAAAATTTGTATATCAGACGGAACATCAACAAGAACAAAAAGATCGGTGTCAATCACCAATCATCAAGTCATAACATAAGATGCCAGGAATTATAACATTACAGTTGTATATATGCTGATATGCAATAAAAAATTTTAACAAATATGGGGAGAGTAGTAATATAAACTCCAAAAATACCATACTTTGCCATTTTTCCAGCAGGAGTTTTACTCTCTGTAACTTCCAAATACGAACCAATCTCACATTTTCAATGTTATTTTTGCATTCGGCATCATGAAATTATATACAATTACTTAATTGTCTCAGTTACAATTAACTTCCTAATTTTTGTAGAACATTATAATATAAATTTGAAAAAAAATTCATACATTCAGCCAGATTCCAAGCATTAAATGTAAAATAAAAAAAATGCTTCAAGCAATTTCAAATCCAATTCCAATTTGTATTGTTTCCCATTTAGTTAGATCTGCCAATGTCGTATCTCGCAGAGTCGTAAACGTTTCGATATTAAAAGCATTTGGTTTCCTCAATCAAGCAGTCATCCAATTTATTCATTTCATATCAGGTTGATATTTTGCAGTTACATTTATCATATTATAATCCCATAAAGGTTAATTGATGAGATTAACTCATATGATCTTACATTGTATGCAGTAATAGGCCAGTTTGTTCCAATTATGTCTAATTAGAATAGTTTAGTAGATTTATATTAACTGGCTCACAGCATATTGTAAAATTGTAATTTATTGTTTAAATATTTTGTAATTTTTATGTTATTCCATTTACTTGTTTTCGGTTAGTGGCAATATAAATAACTCTTCCAATATCGTAATTGATATATTTTCAGCCAATTATTCCAGAGAACAACAATCCCCTTTCTCAGAGTATTAGATCGCTTATTGAAAGAATAAGAAAAGAAAGTGGTAAACATTTACAGGTAAGAATTTTATTAGCAAATCTAGTAAAACTGAAAAAAAAATCATTACAGTAATCTGATAAGAGATTGCATAAATTATAGTAGTACAATATTCAGATATTATCCTGCATTCTGTGTTCATGAATTTTGCAAATTTAAGGGACACTACTAATTAAACTTAATTGCTTTTACAAGTTATTACAAAAGAAATAATTTTTAATATATCGCACATTTTGTTTTTTGCTCATCGGGGATCGAATACATCCGGGGGAATTACTTGACTTTTCTGGCATAACATTATCACTGGGACCAAAATTTTAGCAGTATTTTTATATTTGCAAAATTGAATTTATTGTAAGTAGCTAGTTAAGCAAAATCACATAATTTCAATTTCATAGAAATAATAATTATTACTTGTAAGACATTAAATAAATATGAATTAATTTACAATCAAATTGAATAAGCTATTTAGTATTTTGTTACAATTAAGCTATACATTTGGATCAAAAATAAATTCTAGTATAAAGAACTATCAGAATAATATGCAACATTGCTATGTAAGAATTGGAAACCTGTTTTGTAGGTAAATGCCACAGATGTGGTAGGAAGAAAAATATATTTTACTGGTTTCTTTGAAACCTCGAATTAACTTTCATTGTGAAGAAGGAGAGAAATTGAACAGAAAATAAGGGCTAGTTCATATTTTGTAAAAATGGGAGAGTAAGTCATTTTAATATCATTTATCATTAAACCTAAAAGAGAGCAGAAGCCTGTCACAAGTAATAATCGGTAGAAAAATAGAAGAGAATATTCTATTTTATATGCCATATGTGCCTATCTTTGTTTTATTAGCCCACCTTTACCAACACAGTTAAATATTCTAATATACAAGATGATATTTGAGTAATTCGAAGCTTTAAAAGTTTATAGAGAAAATAATAAATTGTAGAAAAAGAGAGGAAGAAGGATGTTATAACATTAAAACAACTATATTCAAATGTATACGTTAAAATTAAGACTATCGTAATTCTAACAGATATGTGAACCTGTTGTCTCATTTACATTCCTACTCTTCTCATTATAACAGTAAAACCTTGCATTATTGTACCATAAGAAAATACTTCCATTTTTCTAAAATTAGTCTTACACAACTGGCGATGGGCCCGTTCCAATTTTCAAAAAGTTTGATATACAAGGTCTGTTCAAAAAGTATCGGACCCTTTTTTTTTCCACGTAAACCAATGATGCGCGAGAGGCTTCCTTCGGTGGAGTTGTGGAGGGGACAGTCATGCACAGCCCTGAATTTTTTCCCGCCTGCAGGAAGCGTCAGTCGTTGGAAATCGGCCTATGAGTGAGGTCATGTAGTGTGCTCTCGTCGGATTCCACTAAGCTGGAAAATGACTGAACAACGTGAGCAGCGATATTATATCAAATTTTCTCAAAAACCTTGGCGATACCCGAGCGTAAACCATTCGCAAGATTCAGCAGGCTTTTGGGGATGATCCTTGAGGCCAAAAAATATCAAATCAATATCAGGTCCGCAGCAATATCAAAGGTCATGTTGACGGTTTTTTCGACTCTCGTGGGGTGGTGTGTCGTGAGTACGCACCACAAGGCCAAACCATCGCAAAGGAGTACTACCAGGAGGTCCTTTGTCGTCTTTCCGATACATTGCGACGCAAACGACCGGATCTGTGGTCGATCAAAACTTGGCAGCTCCATCGTGATAACTCATCCGCCCATTCTGCGCATCTGATTCGGGCTTTCGTCGCCAAACACAACTACTCCTGTGGTTCGTCACGCTCCGTACTCTCCCCATATGGCTCCGTGTGACCTTTGGCTATTTCCCAAGCTGAAAATGCCGCTAAAAGGAACCCGAATTTAGTCGAGAGAAGACATCGTGCGGAATGCGACGGACCGGCTGATGGCCATTCCAAAAGATGCGTTCTAGCAGTGTTTCCAGCAATGGCAGGAACGCTGGGAAAAGTGTATACATTACCAAGGAGACTACTTTGAAGGGGATTAGGGTTTTGTACCTCAAAGTCAATAAATTTATTTTTGCCGACCAAAGGTCCGATACTTTTTGAACAGACCTTGTATATTAAAGAATTAATACCCTTCTAGTAATTTGTGGTAAATCCACTCGATATAATTCAGACATTTGTGAGAAAATAAATACAGAAAATTTAAAAATTCATTTAATTAGTGTTAATGGTGACATAGTATACGTACTGTACACTTCGTGCACTCGTCTAAGTATACTGTACGATGTGTTCGGATCTTCTTATCCTTATAATAACTTAAATTTGTCAAATTAACAAATTTAAGCACCATACATTGAAGCAAATTGTTAAAATTAGAAAATACGTCACACAATAAAGAAAATTAGTATATCGTGATTATAACTATTTGCCACGCACCTTATTGCGTATTATTATCCGAAAATACGGTGTGGAGGGAGCCAGGCGCTACAAACTTATTACTTACAATTATAATCGATGGCCAGCGTGTTGCATAACGTGGCGCCCTTAACTGCCGGCGTTGCCGCACCGACAAGAAAGGAACTTTCGTCCGTTGCCGATACGATATAATGTAGCAATAAATATAGCTACAAAATACCGATTTTCATTTTAACAAAGAAAAATGAGTGTTTCAATAATAATCCATTTCAATGCTCATTATTTTCAAAAAACGTAATTTTTCTGTAAAGATTCGAACCCGTAACATAGAGTACAGTGGCGAATGCCACCGTTAAAACGTTATAACAGAGTCGGGTGGGAGTGACTTTAATTTAACGCCAATTAACGATATACATTGTAGCGTTACTCTTCCAAACTTCTTGAAAATTGCAGGGGGCCATCTCCGATGTTCTTCTCGTTAGCAAACTAGTAGCGCACGAATGATAGTAAGCATTTTTTTCGTGTTAATCGCATGAAATATAACAAAACAGTAAACTGCTTTTTTAAAAGATATCAATCTTAAAAACGGGCTTGTGTTTTTAAGCAAATAATTTATCACATTTTAATACGATCCATAAATAAATTAGATCTTGTCATTTCTTAGGACCGAAAAAGCAATGTCGACGGATGCTCCATAGCCAACGAGCCTATAAGGAAGGCACCATCGATCTTTGCTTTCTGGTTCGGTACCGATTTTACACTTTTTTAATCAAATGATCTATATTAATGTAAAATATATTAAAAGCAAAAGGGACACGTAACCACAACTGTTGTATTAGAATAGAAAATAGTCCAATCGCTTTGTTTTTCGTTGCGTGAAAAATACCCACGAATCGGAATATTCGGCTTTCCCGAGCTTTTACGTAAAGACATTTTACCATTTAAGAAACAGATATTTTGGCACATTTGCATTTATGCTAAAAACAACGAGGAAGGAGAATTTTCCTTCGCATTATGGAAATTCGTATACTTACGAAAGTTTTTACCACGTACCAACGAATCTATTATATTAAAATTACGGAACTACTGTAAAATGCGTACGTAAACATTAAAATAGTTTTTACCTACGCATTTTAAATGCATTGTATTGTAGTTGGTGCAATTACCATAAACGATGCAAATTAAACAAACTCCGTAAGCATCAATTATCTACAAGTGGGGGACCGGCTTATTGCCCGCATCAATATTTTCTGACCAAAAACAATATATATTTACAAGCATTATTACTCGGTAGTCGCTCTCCCGTCATTACAAATACACGCACATTTTCATTTTAAAGCTACAGACAAAAAGCTTTCCCGTAGTCTCGTTTATGCACATAATTAAAAAAAGAATAAACTAATAAATCTGGAGCGACCTGTACGAAATAATTGTAAAAAACTAATTATAATAGATGGACCTTCTTCGATTATTCCGAAATATTTATAAACGGAATTACTTTCACACTTAAACATTCTTGGGTTTGCGTCTTTTTCGTTCAATTAAATATAACAGAAAACATTTACAAACATTACAATGAAATTATCCAAATGTACTAAGAATATTAACTCTCGGTTATGTTGCATTTTGCAGCTGTTCGTGGTCCGCCAGGGAGACAGGCTGGACGCGGTCTTCAGAAGACACCTGGTGGAGGACCAAGGGAACAGAGGAACGTCCTACCCGGAATATTTTAACCAGTTGCAGAGAGAGGTGGGCCAAGCTTCCGGCAAGTCTTAGAGAATCAAATTTACTTCCGGGTCTACGCAACGGAGAAAAGTATTGGAATTTTAAACTTATTTTGTATATTTGCCGCAGGCTCCAATTCGAAATATTTTGATACGATTATATACGTGGGATGTTTCGTAACTAGTCGTTAGAAATAGAAAAATAAAGTGCAATTTTCAAACACGTTAAAATAATAATAATCGATATTACGTAATCTTTCTCGAATGTTTTGTATATTATTCGAGGAAGCAATATTGATTGCACGTGTGGGTGGAAGAAATTCAAAAACCAGTAGATCCCCCCACAAGAAAGTATACATTTCCATCGATTGTGTACAAAGCTGGCAGAATTATTTTTCAAACATTCTCTATGCATATAAATATTTTGTATATTAAAAAGCGGATTTAAAATATTTTAATACGATATCGAGAACTGGAGAATTACTAATCAATTTTTTTTATTTTAGAGAGAATATATTTTATTTAAATAAAATGTCTTCCAAACATATTTGATGTACTGTACCATAATATATTAACATTTACAATAAACTGCTTGTGGAGCAATTCTCCTTTCAAAGTTTGCCAGTGTTGCTTTCTTCGAAGATAAAGTGGCGTTTGAAATACCCCCACCGCAATATTTTAAGTAGAAAATAAAATAGCAAATTTTGCAATATTAAAATTAGTAAAACGCCGTCAGTTCTTTTCGTCGTTATTTCTATCGGAAAACTATCGGTATAAAAACACCGGGTCAGAAGTATACTACGGATAAGGGCCATTTGTCTTTCCTTCGTCAATCCCGCAATCATTTAGTTTACAAATACACAACTTTTGCCTTTCCGTTAGTTTGACTCGCTTAAACCATTACCAAGTTGACGATTCCTTTTAGAATGAACATAATATTGGGCTGCAATTTGAAAAAATTATAGACTAAATTCTTCACTTTTGACTTGTCGGTCCGACCTTCCTTAATCTCGAGAACGGTAATAGATAAACTGAAATCGAGACCGGATATGGATAGCTATATACGAACTTCCGGTATAAAACGGAAGTCGCGTGATTTCGATTCAAAAATTTTTTCCTACAACGGCGTTACGTAGAAGACCGTTACCACTGTCGTTGTCGGGAAAGCGTGATGTACGGGGGGCAAGACGCTAACAATTTGAAATAGTATCGGCTGGGCTTTGTGACCACGTCACAATGATTTTTGCAGATTTTAAGTATAATTTCTTTCATAACGGCAAAAGGACACGTCGAATAGATGATTTCCGAGCAGTATTAATAATACGAACCTGTGTTAAAACGAATTTTATAACTAGCGACGCGTGCCAGGCGTTGCTGGGGTTTTTGAGGGCTGTGGGATGGAGAAAGTGATAAAAACGGTGTTTGGTAACTATCGATGCGAGTATTTATAATAATGAAAATAAATATTCTAGTCTCATTCCGTAATTTTGGTGGGTCCAAATTTCGCAAAAGCATTACCGATGCGCACCCCCAACCTGTAGCTCTGTTACGATGTGTTAATCCAGCTTGTCGTAAGAAGTTTAAAAACTCCGGGTACATTCGGCGACTCGTCTGTTTCTACACGCCATTACCGCTCTCTCCTATATCCATTTGTGGTTTACGTAGTAAGCGTTGTCAAATCAGTACGAGGTGAATTTGCCATCTCCCAGACTCAAAAGTTTAGCAAAATTCTCTGCAGATTGTCTGCCAATAGACGGATCCCGGTCTAATTGGGAAACTTTAATGTCATTCCGCAGCGACCGTGCCTTTAGGCAGGCACTAAACTACTCGGCAGGAAACTAACAATTAGCATTTACTTGTTTTGCCAACAGATGGCGCTACATGTAAAGGATGTGGAATCTACGTAGCGCCCCAATAATTTTGGGGTAATATATAGCTTAGTGTCGATTCCGGGATGTAAATAATACTCGTACAAACTTTGGGCCGGATAGGTTTGAGAATAAAGATTTGTATAAAGGACAAACCAACGAGAATTAACTTTAAGCCACCTCGTGACAACATTATCTATATAAATAAAAATGTAAATGTTCGTTTGTTCAAAACCTTAAATCTCCGAAAGTTCTTAACCGGTTGTTTTGAAATTGACACAACGTTGCATTCGGAATTCGAGATATCGAAATTCCCCCGGGGGAAAAGGACAAAATTAAGGCTTACCGTGAAGAACTGCTCTATTCTACGTATTTTAGATGCGGTTTTTTGCGTTTTTGATTGCATTTTAATAAGGTAAGTCGAAAGAATATACACTAAGAAAGGATTTTTCGAAATTCCCTCCGGCGGGGAGTGTTATACATTTATAATAGATACATTTTTGAGCCACAGCAACGCGTGGCGGGTACAGCTAGTATACTGTATGTATAATTTTCTCGGTAATAATTCCATCAACGAGGCTACTTCGAAAAGAGTCGAGAAGAGCGTATTTACGTCTCCTATATACGATTAAACACATTTTAAATAGCAAAGTATCCCTAGCAAATAGGGCATTTAAGATGCGGGATTCACGACACTAATTGTTCTAGAGGAAATTTTATTTTTACCGTATTTTCCAACTTCCTGGCAAGGGTCTCTGGCCCTCCACGCTTCGAACTAACGTCGTAAACTGTAAAAGTCAAACGACGGATAATTATATTGGTAAAATTTGTCAAGCGGGATCTTCGAAGGCATCCGACACGGGAAGAGACATCTTTTACGACGTTTCGGAAAAGACGAACTTTCCATACTGCCCCGGAGAAAGAATGGCCGAGCAATTAGCGGAATCCGCAGAAGAGTTGGAAAAGAGGCGATTCGTCAAGTGGCGGGGCAAGAAATTTTCGCAACCGGAAGCGAGAGAAGGTAAATTGGTGGAACCCGAAAACCGTAGAAAAGTTTAAATGGGACGTCCCGATTTGCAAAATTAGGCAAGAGTCGGATAAGAGACGAAAGGAGCCCAACGATTGGCGCTTTCCGGTGGTCTCGAGTCGGGGATTAATCCGGACGCCAAAGAAACGCGTGGAAATCGGAGTGCGGCGGTCTGCCGTTAAGAAGGAACCGAAGAAATGGGTCTTCGGAAAGGGACGTTACCACGTAAAGAATAGCCCATCCGACCAATTCGGATCCCGTGACCACGGAGGGAACTCCGTTCTCTTTCCTTTCTACACTCCCGAATTTCCTATCTACGCCAAACATTCTCTTATTTCGGCTAACGGCCTTACCAAAAAAGAAGGTATACTGTATTCCCTAATACAGTAGAACCTCAAAAACTCGGCCTAATGTGGACGAAGGGTGGCCGAGTTTGTGAAAATGCCGGGTTATCGGGAATGAGGTTAAAAAAATAGGTACGAGTGTTTTCTCAGAAAATACTGTACTGTACTTGTATGTATTGTTTACTTGAGAATATAACAGAGAATAAACTGCCCAAATACCCTTAAACAAAGGAAAAGTACGTCCTTTATGAAGGCATAGAGCCTTTACTACATGAAAATGAAAATTAATGAATACACTATGTACAGTAATTTACCTGATAAGACAGACCTCA